CCTGCACACATACTCTCTCTCTGTTCCTGGAACTCTCCACATCATTCCTACTGCAGGGACTTTGCTGTCACCATTCCTGCCCCTAATTTCAGCACAGCAGCTCCTCTCACCTGGTAGAGCTCACCTTAACTCTACCTTCCCACAAAGACCTCATCGCTATTCAGACCTAAACAGTAAGAAAGTTCTATGATGCACAGCCACGTGGCTAAACCTGGAGAGCATCATGCTGAGTGAAATAAGTCGCAAATGGACACTGCAGAATTCCACGTGCATGAGCGAGTCCCATTCACAGAATCAGGAGTGGAATGATGGTTGCCAGAACTGGGGGGTGGGGGAGGAGGTAGGGAGCTGCTAGCCAACAAAGTTCCAGTCAAGCAAGACGAGTAAGCTCTAGAGAGTAAGTTTACAATATTGCACCTATAAGCGGTGATAATGTGTGACACACTTGAAAATTTGTTAGCAGGTAAATCTTACGTTAGGTTTTCTTACTAAAATATAAAAATAAAATAAAATAAAATACTTTGTTAAAAGATCCCCCATTTGGGGGCTGGCAGGTGGCGTGGCAGTTAAAGACGCTGGACTCCCACATGGCCGACTGCAATTCAAGTCCTGGACCTGGCAGCTTGCTTTCTCACTTTCTCTTTCTCTCTTTCTCACTCTGTCCCTCTCTGGTCAAATTAAAATAAATAAATAATGTAAAGTTAAATAAAGTAATTCTCAAAAAAATAATCCCCCATTTAGTCATTCCGAATTTTGTGATCTTATTTTATTTTCTTCCTGGGTCATACCCCTTTCTAAAATGAGCTCATTTGTTGGTTTACTTCTTTCTCATCCTCTCCACCACTGAGAACTGTGCTGTCTAACACAGTAGCAGCTAACCACAGGCTGAGCATTTGAATTCTACACACTGGATTTTGAGGATTAGATATAAAAACATAATGCAGGACCAGCAGGTGGCATGGTGGTAAAGGCGCTGGACTCCCACAGAGCCAACCATGGTTCGAGTTCTGGACCAGGTGACTTGCCTTCTCATTCTCTCTCTTTCTCTCTATGTTTCTTTCTGGTCAAATTAAATAATAATAATAAATTAATTAAATTAAATTAATTAAAGAGTTTGCATAGATTCAGTTAAATATAATTTATTATTAAAAATGAGACTACCTGCTTCCTTTCACTTTTTGTAATGGGCCCACTCAGAAAAGAAAATTATAGGGCTAGGCCGTGGCACAGGGGTAGTCTGTCCTACATGGGAAGATCTTGGCTTTGCATGCTGGGATTCCCTGAGCGTACTGGGATCCAGGTCCATGAGGTGGAGGTGGATGGTGGCATGGAGACTTTGTTGGGGAAATCTATCTCTTTCTCTCTCTGCCTCTCTTTCTCATGAAGTAATAAACTTTAAATTAAATTAAATACGTGGTTTGTTTATTTATTCTCTTCCATGACATAGGAAGGCAGAGAGAGAGGCCCCGCAGTGGAATCCCATGTCATGATCCTTCCCTACAGCTTTCTCAGTCAATCAGAACCATGAGTGGGTGCCCAGAAGACCCAGGTTGCCTGGGAACTAGACCCCTGATCTTCCCTACAGATTCACAATTGCAGATCTATGTGTCACTGCTGTACCACTGTGGCTGGCCACTTTCATTAGATTTCTATTGGACAGCCATGTCCTAGACAAAACCTTCTTAAGAATGAAGATCTTATTGTGTTGTTTATTCTCTCTATAGATCTGCATTTAGAATGAGAGCTGGCACAGAGTAGGTATTCAATGAGCAAGTTGCTGATTGAATTAATGAGTTGACTTTTTAAAACAATATATTTATTATCATTTAAAAAAATGTGCTATAAGATATGTGATTTTACCAGCGATAGATAGATAGAGAGAAAGAGAGTGAGAGAGAGAGGGAAAGTGACACCAGGTCCAGGACTTGAACTGCAGTTAGCCATGTGAGAGTCCAGCACCTTAACCACCATGCCACCTACTGACCTCAAGCTGTCTTTTTTTTTTAAAAGCATCACTCGATTGGTAGATTTTAGAAATGTTGTATCTTTTTAAAACAAATTGAAATCAAGGCTTTTAGACAAATGTTATCATGTGTTTGTAGCAAATTCAAAGCCAGGTGACAGTTATGCCTCAAAGATGAGGTTGACATGAGGTTACGAGAATAAGTTACTTTCGATAAGAAAGAGGAAAAGCAAGTTCAAGTTATTAGATATTACAGAATCTAGGTCACAATTTATTGTTTTGTTTGTTTTAGGTTTTTGCCTTAGGGCACGTGTGCTTGCTGAGGGAGACAGAGAGACAATTAGAGGGAAAGTGAAAAATCACCCCCCGGGGAGGGATGGCTGCACTACAATCTCTTCTTTATTTCTCCCTTGGGATTTTGGGCACACACAAATACATGCCCAGCATAATTTTCAAGCTGTCAGATCCAGGACTTGAACTGCAGTCGGCCATGTAGGAGTCCAGCACCATAATCACTATGACATCTGCTGGCCCCCACAATCTATTGTCAATGCATCATTTTTTTATATACAACTAAGGAAAAGAAAGCAAGTGCTGCCAAAAATCTACGACACACCATGGATTGTAAGCTGCCATCCAAGTTCAGAAATGTTAAAATGTGGGGAAAACGTGTGTCTTAGAATCTATGCAATACGGAACAGACCCAGTAAGCATAAAGGCCCAGAAACGGGAAGGCATTCATCTTCCCTCACTATCCAGCCAGATCGCATCTGGATCATATATGCGGAGGCCAGGATTTTTGTTCTCTCATCCTTTTCAGTCCTTTTTACACTTCATCCTGGTGGGAAAAGGGTCCTTTGTGAGACATAGTAAAAACAAAACAAAACAAAAACATGTTTATCATAGCATCTTTTTGAAAGTATGCTATGAGAGACGGTCCAAGGTTGGGATTGTTCCGCTCTTTCTTTTATTTATTTTGATTGCCAGAGAGGATGTGTGCTCACACATACGTACGAGAGAGAGAGAGACTTAGTGGAGCGTGGTGAAGTCACAATCCTCTTTCCTCCACGTCTCTGTTTCATCAGGATTTGGGGCACACACGCACACCCATGAGCGTGGTTTTCAGGCTGCTGAAGCCAGAACTTAAACTGTGATGTGCCATGTGGTATCCAGCTGTCTGTGCAAATTTAGCAGCTGCACTGTGAGATTGTCCCATGCCAAGACAAGAGCCTGAAGGCTTACATGTACTCCTATGACAGGGAGTGGGGAATCTCAGCCGTCTTTCCAGGAAGGATAGGGACACGAGGGAGAAGGGACACCTTGAGGTTCTTCAGGACTGGCTATGATAAATGAGAACGTCTTCAAGAAAAAGCAATGTTCTGGTGCCTATTTCAGGTTCTGTGTGGTTGTGGTAAAGTGGTACTATGGTGTTTTCTTTCTGGTAGAGGATGATGGTTTCCAGAGCTTGCTGGGCATGTGAACCACTTGACTGCTACAGAGTAAGAGAGATGTTGACAAACAGGAGAACGTCTGGATCCACGATTCTCAAGCAATGGTTTGCAAGCCATGAGCACTGGAGCATCCTCTGCAACTGTGGGTACATGGGTAAGTGGGAGGCCCTGAGTAGGCTGGCCTTGGGGTTTTATCCCAGCTCCTCCTCTTCTGTTTTTCTCTAGGCAGTTTCCATACAGATCTTCTAAGAACCCAGTGATGTTTGAACCATTTTTCGATTTTAAGATTCCTCACTCACAGGTCTATCTTCCAATCTTAAGAGTTAGCTATGATGCTGATAGCCCATAGGAGAACTAACAGATGACATAATGGTTACATTACTGGACTCCCACATAGGCAACTGTGGCAAACCACAGTTGAGTCCCAGACCTGATGGCTTAAAACTCAGGCTGCGTGCATGTGCGTGTGGATTGTGGTGTGCCCATCCCCCTGGTGGTGACTTCTCACTTTCTGTCTCAGTCTCTCTGGGGATTGCATGTGCCCCCCCCCTCAAAAAAAATGGACTAACATTATAATCAGACCCCAACCCCCCCCCAAAAAATGGACTAACATTATAATCAGACCCCACTCTCATCACTGCACAATATAGCTTATGTTTGAGGACTTCGAGTTCAGAGTACCAGCCTAGTGGCCTCCAGAGTCTTTGCCTGTCCCTGAAAATCCTACTTCTGTGTAAGATTTTGTCTTCTATCTTTAGGCTACTTGAGACTAAAAGAATTTTGAGAGTCGCTGATCTGAAACAGGGGCTCTAAAACATGGTCAAACGTGGTTACATCTATAGGCTACTTGAGGCTAAAAGAATTTTGAGAGTCGCTGATCTGAAGCAGGGGCTCTAAAACATGGTCAAACGTGGTTATAACTCGGCAACATAACAGTGTTGACAGTATAGTACAGAGCCAGGTCTCTTCTCAGACCTGCTGAGTCATAGTCTCAGGCTGATGTCTCATTCTAAACCTTATTACCTGGCAGTGAGCTGTCCATCACGGGAAGTGCTTCTGAATCCATAGGGAAGACCAGGGGTTTGGTTCCCAGCTCTCAAAGTCAATGGGAGCTCCTTATCGGGACTCACTTTGAATTAGAAAAACTCTTCAATGTTACCTCCAAAACTACAAGTCTCTGATTTTACATCTAGTCTAGAAGTCAGTATTTGTCCCTCAGATTCTCTGCCCTTAGTGCTCTTAGACTATCACGGCAGGGGTGCAGGTGCTCAGTGGGGTGTTAACTATCCCAGGAATACAGAACTTTAATGAGAATAAGGCACCTTCATGGTCATTACGCATTGGTTTTGATCTATTTCCCAGACAGAAAAAAAAAATCAATATAACCAATTAAGGAATAGACAGAAACAATGACAAGGCTAATTCAAATTTCAGTTGAGATATAAGTTCTTACATTTGAATATGGAGCAGCTACTGATACATTATAAGCCTGATAATGAAACTTAATTAGCAACGGCCAACTCAGCAGATGTTATAATGCTTTTCAGCTTCCTCTCTCCTCTTCGCCATGTTTTTTTCCTCCTCACCTCATGCCCAGGAGAGACAGCATGGATGTGTCGGTCCGTGAACCCTCTCTCAACTGCAGGGTCTAATTCTGTAGCTTTAGTTCTGCCTTACTTCTGAGCCAATCTGAAGAGCTGATACATGCACGTGTTCCTTTACCCAGCAAATACTCATTGAGACCTTGGTTTGAAGCACGCCCTATATTATGGGATGGGAAGACAAAGGTGAACAACGTAATCCCTGCTCCTTCTGGTGGAGAGAAAAATAGGGGATTCTAACAACTGAGCTTTCATAAATCTAGTGATTAATTATGAACCCTTGTATCCAGCCTTTCCTTAATCCCAATCCCACACGCCCAACCCCTTTGTGGGATTTCTGCCTTCACTTCTCAGTCATGGATCTTACTCCCTTTCCTATGCTGGGATAATATGGCTGGTGTGAGCCCCATGTGCCTTGGGTATAACCCGACTAACAGACCCTGCTTCATTCTCCCAGGGCCAGACCTTATCCCGGGATCCACCTGCAAGAGCCTCTTGCGATCTCCTCTCCCCCTCCCTTCCTGCCAAGTTGCTATCTGTCTGGTTTACATTGGGGGGTGCCCTAGGCCTCACCAATGTGGGGGGAGAGATGGAGTCGCTTTGGGTATTACTGGTATTAGTATTACTCATGGTTGCGATATGGATTCCAACATTCCCAGCATTCACTCTTAGATTCCTTACACATTAATAATGTCTAGACCTAGGAACTAGACCTGGGAACAATCTAAAAAACTGACCTCTCTCTCCTTAAAATTGCTCCTCTTCCTTTTTTTTTTTTTTTTATTGCACCCTTTTCTTTTTTTTTTTTTTTTTGGAGAGATTTTCGCTATAGGGCATGTGGGCTCGCCAAACAGACGGGGAGAGACATAGAGACAGAAAGCAAGAAATCACCCCCAGGGGGGATGGTCACGCCACAATCCCTTCTCCTCCATTCTCCTCTCGGGATCTTGGGCATGCACGCACACGCGCCTGGTGTGAGTTTTAAGCCACCGGGTCCGGGACACAAACCGCGGTCGACTACGTGGGAGTCCAGCGACATAGCCATTACGCTAACTGCTGGTTCCCTCCTCTTCCTTTTTGAGCAAGACTTTCTCCCAGGGTTACATGCCTGGTTATTTCTTTCTTTAGGATTAATTCTCAGTCTTGGCTCTCCATGAAAATTGTCTACTGATCAGCTGCTCAATCAGTTTACCAAATCTTCTGAGCCTCATCAGCTACCGTACCCACACACCCACTACATCAGGCCGCTTGGGACATTTCCGTCACTTCAAGTCACGCTCAAATGGTCCATACACAGCCCGTCCCTATGGAAGCTGTTATGGTTTGAATTATTCTCCCTTCCTCAAGAAGATATGTTGAAGTCCTAACTATCAGTATCTTTTTCTTTTAAAGACAGATTTGTGCTATAGGCCCTGTGTGCTTGCTGGAGAGCCAGAGCCCCAGAAAGAGCGAAATCACCCTCAAGGGTGAAATCACCCCCTTTTCTTCCATTCTCCTCTTGGAATTTTGGGCATGCACACATACAATACCCAGCATGAGTTTCAAGCCTCTGGGTCCAGGACTCGAACCACAGTCAACCATGTGAGAGTATAGCGCTTTAACCACTATGTCACCTGCTGGCCTCACCATCAGCGTCTTTGAATGTGACCCTATTTGGAAATAGAGTCACCACAGATGTAATTAGGTAAGATGAAGTCACGTTGTGATAGCGTGGGCCCCTAATTCCATATAATTGGTGTCCTTATCAGAAGAGGGAAATTTCGACGAACATGCGCAGCCGGAAGACGCACAGGGAGAATGTCACATGAGGACAAAGGCAGAGATGGCATGAAGCAGCCATAAACCAAGGAGTGCTCAGGGCTGCCAGCGCTAGGAGCAGACAGGAAAGGATTCTCCCCTGCAGGTTTGAGAGGGAGCGTGGCACCCGCCGACACCCTGCTTTAGGACTTCCAGCTTCCAGAACTGTAAGACAAAACATTTGTGCTATGTAAAGCATCTTAGTTTGTGGCATTTGGTTAGGGCAGCCCTAGGAAACTAATGTGGGCGCCATGTTGCCCTCCTGGCCAGCCCTCCAGGGAAGGCGGAGGAAGGAGGGCAGAGACTGCAACCCTGCTGGCTGTGAAACTGAGCAGCAGACTTTAGTCCTCTGACTCAGAGCTGGTTATTTATCCCCAGAGTCACCTGGCCCTCAATCCTGCTCACTCCTTCCCAGGGCCAGCTGCTGAGATCCTTGCAGGCTTTCCAGGTTATCTATTTGATTTGTGACAACAGCAACGACTTTCAGTCTTCCTGGCTCATGTCTTCCTAGGGACATAAAGAAAACGAACTGCTTTTGTGTACAAGATTTGTTCTCCTTGCATCCTTGGGTTTGCAGGCTCGTGAAAGGAGGAAAAAAAATAAAGCCCAATTCGATAATGTGTCATCAATCATATTCCATGATAATAGAGGCTCGCTCTCCAAAGTACACTTGCTTTTAAGCGGTATCTACCAGCCATGCTGATCCACACCCCTCCCTCGCCTCATGAAGGGCCCTCTAACTGGAAAGACGAAGGGACTGGGTTAAAGGTAAGAAGTGGTTCTTTTAACTTAGAGGATAATTTTCTAGAAGGATGAATTAATGGACAAATGCCTCCTCCCTTCTTTCTTCCAGAGAACAGTGTCAGATGTGGGAACACAAGTTATGGTACAGAATGGTCTACATTTAAATTCTTGCCCCATGTTAACATGAAGACTTGGCCTTTTTTTTTTTTTTTAAGATTTTTGCCATAGTGTGCTCACTGGGGGAGACAGAGATAGAGAGAGGGAAAGTAAAAGATTACCTCCCCAGGGGAGATGGCCATGCCACAGTCCCTTCTCTTCCATTTTCCTCTTGGGGTTCTGGACATGCCTGCCTGCCTGGCATGATTTTTCAAGTTGCCATGTCTGGGACTTGAACCATGGTTGGCCATGTGGGAATCCAGCACCTTAACGACCACACCGCCTGCGGGCCCCTTACTTCCCTTTTTAAAACCACTGCTTTCCCGTCTGTGACATGGTCATGATCTCACATGACCTCACAGAGCTGAGCTGTTGGAGGTTAAATGAGATTAAGCATGAACAGTACTCACGGGGTCCAGCTCAGTCCTCACTGGCAGCTCTCTGATGGAGTACGTCTCAGCCTTTCCTTCTAGGATTTTATTTTCAGGAGTGGAGAAGACACACCATAACACAAACCCACAAATCTCAGGTGCAGTTCTATTTTAACAGCTGTCCCTCCCCACCCCCATCATTAGTGTGAAGAAGAAAACCACCAGCCAGTAAGTTAATCTTCCCAGAAAACTATAAACACCGCGGGGTCTACGGCCTGCGCCTTTGGCCTCTCTACAGTGGAGCTGGGGATGCAGGATTAGTGAAGACGTTTAGGACGCTTTGGAGAGGAAACAAAAGAAAGCAAAATATTATTAGCACTCGAGTAAATCAATCACAGATGGCCTTCAAAAATTAACCCAAAAGCAGAATGCTCATTTTCAGAAAACGCCTGCCTTCTTGAAATAATGTGGAAAAGGCTCAAGAACACCTCCCATAGACGTGAACCAGTATTCACTGCTTCAGCTGGAAATGGGAGAAAGAGAAAGCCTTTGTTCTTTGCTGCCCCCATTTTCTCCGACAGCAGAAGGGGAATAACGCGTAGTGATTGCAATGGAGAGGGTCGAGGGGCTCCACGGCCTGCCCTGGAAAGGCATCAGTCTCCTTAGAACAGAGCTTCCTGGCAGGAAGGTGTGTCCGTTTGGACCCGTCTCCCTGGGTCCAGGACGTGCCGGTCACAATGGGGCGCCTGAACTAACTGCCTTCCCTCTTCAGCCTCCCATAGTCAGTGGCCCTTTTCCACTGAAAACTTTGTTTATTGTGTAATTAATGAAAGGTAATGGTCCTTGCAGGTCCGTGACCAGGGAGCCCAGCAGTTAAACTCCCGCTGCCGATTAAGATAGGCTCTTCTCCCCACTCGGAATCACCCACCTCTGTAAAATGTTTTTAAAACTCTAGGGGCCTCTGAGAGTATCCTGGTTTATTAACCTCAGCATCAGCACACTCCTCTCCACCAACATCCGTACCCCCCCAAAAAAAAAAAAAAAAAAAAAAAAAAAAACCCAAAGACCCAACA